CCTCACCTGAGCAGAGGCTGCTAAGTGCTCGTGGATTTGAGGCAGGCTGGATGACTGGAAGGAGAGCACTAAATTAATTTTTTGTGGGTACAGACAGCAGTTGGAGCCTGGCTGTCTGTGGGGGGTGCACTAAAGCGTGTGCTTCTGGCCCCTTCATTTATGTCTAGAAGTAAATGCTCTACTTCCACTAGAATGAGAAAATGATGATGGGCCGAAAGTTGTAATGCAGTAAAATATTGTGTCGTTCTAACTGACGTACCCCTTACATTATTAATGAAGCTCATCCTGTCTTTCAGTGACAATTCGCAGGTTTTTCAGCCTTACGTGTTGAGAACCCGCAGGAACAGTACGACCGTTATGAACCGTCACAGTATGGTAAGTAATCTTCAACACAACATGCAGTTATGCTGAACACTGAGTAATTGAGCAGGGCAGATTAAGTTAAATTTGATTTGCAACTGTAGTGAAGTACTTTTACATACCTCCTGGCTGCAAAATGGGTCCTTGCAAGTATACTCTGAAAAATTTAAAATAAATCAAATAGTTTTGTAGGGGTCTATGGGTTACCCCAAAAAGTGAGCCATGGAGGGGTATGTATGTATGTAAAGAGTATTCGGTATTACATTCAGTATGTAATTACCATCCTGCCTGTAGCTGGATCTCACCTTACTGGGACATCCCCACATTGGTTCTAGTCTCAGAGCTACCACAGAACTTGTTGATGGGCTAGGAAGAGAAATTTACAGAAACAAAACAACCTTGTGCTGTTTCACTTGCCATGAAATCAAAAATTCAAACCTGCCATTTATCCAGCTCCCTGGTTAGGTGACTGCAGTGCAGGAAACTAGGACTAGACAGTTGCTATCACAAGTTTGAATCTGGAAGAGAAGGTAATTTTAAGTTGGATGTACAGTACTCTGCTCTTTGCAGGCTGAACAACTTAAACAGTAATTTTGTAATTATTTCAGTTTTCAAAGATGTTTGCAAATCATTGCAAGAGTTTCCCAATTAAATAATTCAGATAAATATGGGAATTTCTGCTGTTTTTCAGCAAAAATCCTGTTCTTACTCCTGCTGTACAGGAGTACTACTTTATAGTGGAATAGCACTCAAGGTGCCAAAATCCATAAAACATAGGGATTATAGCCACTCTGGATAATAATTTGCTAAGTAAAAGTGTGACAGAATTCTCATTTTAAGTTTTTCGTTATGAGAAATTTCTTAAAAATTCATCCTACAAATAACATTAGTTGTCCTACTATTTATTTTGTGGTAGTGTCCAAAATTCTCAAATACAGCAGTGTGCCATGCAGGTATCAATGAGAATCTCTGCTCCAAAGGGGTCAAATAATTAGAGAAAAATAATACATCTAACACCTTTCCTGAAGCCCTTTCAGTGGTAACTATTGAGAATGAATGGCATGAGATGTTATTTCAGTTCATTGTTATAAATTAGGTGAGAAATAATTGAGTTTAAGGTTTACAAGCAATTTAAAAAATATATAGATTTCGATTCGGTAGTAGCCTACCTAACCTTCACAATAAAGTTTAAAAATCGGATTTTCATAATGTGTTGCATTATTGCTTCTGTGTTTATGGAGGAGTGGCTCCCTACAAAGCAGTGATCTGTAACACCAGTTGATTAAAGGAATTGGCTGATTTGTTGTGCAGATTGTACTAAGCTAATATTGATCTTTTTAAAAGAGAGTACTATGTGATCTGAGTTCTGACCACCTGATTGTCTGGTTTGTTTTAATTTAAAGAAAATGCAGGTGACTGAAGGTAGGCTGCCTGGGGACTGATTTGCGATTAAGCAGAGTGGATGTTTGTTTTTTTCCAGTTGCTGTCGTCCTCTCCTATTCGTATTCCTAGCAGCCGACTTCATCAAATCAGAAGGGTAAATTGCAGTTTACTTCATGTGTAACATTGTATAAATACTTCTCATTGAAGGACTTAATGCAGAAATGGTACTCTAGGAGTTTGTTCTCCATTACACCTCTTTTGCTTTGTTTTTGTCCTCTAAACTTGAATCTCCTCGTCAGACTGAAGCAGTGTACTCAAAGCTTATTCTGCGATTATATTTAAGTGCCTCAGCATTTCTAATGCTGCTGCTTATTGTAGCCTACATGTGAGGCCTTGGGATGGGCATGGAGAGGTGATGAGTTGGAGTTGATCACAGGCACTTCTTTTTGGAGCAATAGTCTTGTTTAAATCTGACACTAAAGCCAGACTGAGATAGGAAGTCATTCTGAGTAGTCATGGTAATCTAAAAAGTTGTGAAAAGCTTATAGTATCTGTCTTCTGCAGGAGGAGGGAGTTGACTTAATGAACAGAGAAACAGCACATGAAAGGTTAGTATAACTAAAACAAGATAAGAAAGTAGTTAGAATTACCATCTTTGTAGCCACTCATGGGATTTCCTGTGTTCCAGGGAAGTGCAAACAGCAATGCAGATAAGCCAGTCATGGGAGGAAAGCTTGAGCCTGGTAATATCTCTAATATTTTTAATTCACTTCTACACCTGACTAGTGAGCTTAAGGAAAAAGAGTGGAAATAATTTTGAAAAAAAAAACTTTGTTTTTCTAGTTGTTTAGCTAATTTGGATGTCCATCAAAATGTTACGCCTTAAGTTCTAAAATGATGTGCCATATTATTTTAAGGATGACATTTTGTATTTACAGAGTGACAATGACTTTGACAAGTCTGAGAAATCTTCCTCCCCAAAGAGAATTGACTTCATCCCAGTTTCCCCAGCACCTTCACCCACCAGGGGAATAGGAAAGGTAGGAAATAAGGAAAATGCAATTTCAGATTAAGAAGAACTGCACAAGAGTGTTTTTTGAAATCCCAGCAATTAAAAAAAAAAAAAAAAAAAACACTTGAGCCATTATTTAAAATACTCTTGAATTTTCTCATCATCTATGAATTCTCAAAATCTGTGGGACAAACTTCCCTGTTTTTGCATTGAGTGACTTCCGTGGCTGCATTTTGCATGTGTTGTGGGGCTGCAATATTGGTGCTAGACTGTTTGGAAGACCTCATCCTGAAGGTGGAAGTAAAGGTGTGGGGAAAGACCTTAAATTGTCTGTGGAGAAAGAAAAGGATGGGTCTTAAAAACGTAATGAAAGCCACAGCAAGATTTGGGCACAGCCTCACTATATAGGGAGAAAGGGAGGAGGCAATGACTCAAGGTCGGAGTGGTGGGCAAAATGAAAGTATTGTCAACAGTGACAGAATGAGAGCAGGGGTGGTTTGTTTTTTGGAGAAAAGAGTTCAACTTTAGACATGTGAAGTTAAAATTGATGGCCCTTTCCCTTCAGTCCGCAGTGTTCCTGATCCTCAACTGACCCTGGAGAAAGGGAGGAATTGCAGTGCAGATAACACTTCCCAATGGTCTTTTTTTCCCAGTGAGAAGCAAGTAGAGACAGTATTGGAACTTTGCTCAGGGCAACTGGCAAACATGTTTATAAGCAGATTTCTTGGCCTTACTTTCCCTGCAGATTCTGTGACATTCTTTCATTGTTGCTGTGTTAGCACGGCTCCTTTATCAGCACTTGTCCTGTTGGTAGTGTTGAACAGCCATAAGTACTTTTACTACTGTTTTGGATAAATCAGCTCTGAGCAGTTATCCACATAATGGTAGATGGCTGGCAGTTTGTATATTAGTGCTCGTACTGGTAAAATTGCAGCTGTCAAAGCACCAGTGAGAGGACTTGACAAAATGCTAATGCATACAAGCTGCCCTTGGGCAGAAATAGAGTTCATTGCAGGGGTACAGTATGCATAGAAAGCCCCAGGTGCTGCGTTGACAAATTCATGTTTAATCCATAGTATGTAAAATGTATATGTAAAGGAGTATCTTAAGCCTGGGGTGTCTTTTGTTGTAGCTTTTTGATGAGTGGTTTAAGTCATAATCCTACATCCTGCAACTTCAAAAGCAAAAACCCAAATTAATTCTGGAAATCATGCATTCTTCTGCATGTCTTGACATTTTTTTAAATTTAATTTTTGTTCTTTGGAAGCGTTTTAATTTGAATAAAGTGATGATGATAGCATTTTTTTTACAGTATATTTTTCCCTGTAAATTTAGTTTTAATATCCTGGGCTTTTCATAAGTTATTCTGTTACTGGAATTTTTACTTTAATGGGGAAATTGCTTGCAATGGATAAAAGTATCAGCTATTTATAAGTGAACCGCAGAAGCATCTTACTGCGTCTCTCTCCCCCTAGCAATGTTTTTCACCATCCTTACAAATGTTTGTGAGTAGTAATGGATTGCCTCCAAGTCCTATTCCCAGTCCAACAAGGCGATTCTCAAAGTAAGTGAATTCATCACAAACTAATAACTGCTTGCTGATTTTATTTATATATTTTTAATTTACCTTGAGCTACTACATTACTTTTAAAGCTAATTACTTTTAAACATTAACATTTTGGCATGAAAACTGAGACCTGGAACAGATTTCATTTGTTAATAGACTGATTAAGTTGAATAAAGCATTTGACTTCTGAAAGGCTCTAATCTTGTCCAGTTTTGGAGCAGCTGGATTTTCTTTCACTATTTTGTTAAAAAGGCTGTTTTCAAGGCTTTTTTTAACTTTGGAGTTCACAGCCACTGCCACAAAACATTTAATGTTAAACTTCAAGAGGCAGTGACATGCGGGAATTTTTCCAATAGCTTTTTTCCATTTAGACTAGACATCCTTTATATAACAATCTCAAAACCGTTTTAGAGACAAGTTTACCAAATTCTTCATTCATGCAAGTAATATGATGTTTAATGGATAAAGTGGGCTGACTCCCATAGATTAAGAGAAACTATGTCAACCTCTAAAGATCACAAGGTAGATCTTTCACAGCTTTCAAAAATTGTGGTGTACTACAGTATGAGATTTCCTAACTGTCTGTTTTTTGAATTGCAGTTTTATTTAAAAAAACAACAGTTTATTACCTTTTCCAAATGTAATTTTGTCCTGGCTTAATATTAGGAAGAAACATTAGAAATAGGTTTTGTTCAAGCTTTGGACATCTTTCAGCACCTGCTGATTTACTACTTTTATGACTTTAGCAGGAGGAGTCAGAGTCCAATCAACTGCATCAGACCCAGTGTTCTTGGTCCCATTAAAAGGAAAGGTATGTTGGCAATATCATATATTTTAATATTGCTTTTATTTTGGGAGTTAAATAAGCTTCCAACCTTTTGTCTTGATGCTCTCTCCTCAGATTAGAGCATTTTGCTTCTTGTTGAATTGGAATGTTCAAATCCTTATTTCCAGCTGCAACATATAACAAATAAGTTAGGCTAAAATACACAAGTTAGAATAAAAAGTTTTCCAGTGAGCTTTTACACTTTTTTTCCTGCAGAAGAAAAGAATGCTATAAATGTATTTAAACCTTGGAATTCTTTTCACCTTTTAATTAATAAAAATGGGCAAGAGATTGGGATGCAAATTTGAGAATTAGGGGCATGGAATAGTATAAGTGATGTTCTTTTTAACTAAAAAAATCATAATGTATTTAATATTGTACAGCAGTGAAATGTTCTCTTTAAATGTTTTTTGCTAGTAAAAGCTTTTTTTAAAATTAAAATGATGCAGTTTTGCTTTCATGAGAGATTTCAGTTTCTGAATAGTTGCCTCACCTTTCTCTTCTCAGTTTGTGTGAGAATTAAAGTACTATACATGTGTCCTTTTGGGTAGCTCTGCATGATGGAAGCCATCATTCTTTTCCTTCAACGGAGAATGAATATATTCCTTGCATGCTACAGAAAATAAGAAGTTATCAGGGCCACCAGTCTTGGAGTACAGGCTGAGTGGTAGTATATTTCTCTTACATTAAAATATGCTGTAAATTAACATTAAGTATGTAACGTGATGAACCTTTTTTAGTTCCTCAAGGTGACACCTGAACAGCTGTAAACTAATAGAAAGCTGGAAAACACTTGCTACTAGACTGATAATTAAAATGCCTAATGAGCCTGCCCATAAAAAAAAGAAAAAATTAAAAAATTAAGCTATTAAATGCAAACAGAACTTGTATAAAAAACTAGTTCCATACAAATGCAAAGGGTGGCTGATCACGTGATCAGACTGCTTCTTGCATCTAGTTGTTTCTTGCCCAAACACTGATTTGATCATGTGGTTAATTTAAGAATCTGACAGGCACACAGGGCAAGACTGTTTGCATGTAATTGTATGGAAGATATTAAATAGAAATTAATTTTTTTAGTCTGATTGTTTGGATTATTTTCCTCAGGCGAAATGGAAACTGAAAGTCAGCCAAAGAGACTCTTCCAAGGAACTACCAACATGCTTTCTCCTGATGTGACGCATCTGACTGATCTCAGTTCATGGTAAAATTTTCTTCGAGTACTGAAACATCAAAGTAGAGGCTATTTAACTACCTTAAGTCCATTGTTTTTCCAGAAATAATTAATTTGTGATGTATAAACTGTATACGCAGACTAGTAAAAGCTATGATGAAGTGACAGTAGGCCTCCCCTACTTCCTTCTGGAATTAGAATGCTCTTCCTTGCTGGTTGGTTGATAGCCGTAGCTGCCCAAAAGTGGTTTGCTGTCCATGGTTGTTAATAGAGGTCTAAGAAATGTTTCTTAATGCCTGGAATAGGTAGGGGTAGCCCTTGGTAATTACATGGCAGAGTCTGTGCAGTGGATAAGTGTTCCCTGTGTCCCTAACAGTCCTCAAACAGAATCTCTCACTGTTCACCATAGATTGCTTACTGCACTGCATAGCAGGGGCCTGCTGTTCCAGTATGGAGTAGGAGCTGGTAATCATGCTAATAGTTTTGGCACTTACAGACTAACACCTTCTTTGGTATGTCTGTAAGAGAGTATTTAACAAAGCCACATTCTTCACGTGGGCACTTTACAGCTAAGGTTATGTTGATATACCCTCTTCAGCTGCAGTCTGATGTATCCTGATCACACTATAGTCTGTTTCCTAGAAGCTGGAAGGTAACCTATTTGGCTTCTGATTCCTGCTTTTGTTTTAATAAAATCAGTTAAATTAAAGGGTTCTAAAATATCAACTTCAAGGAAAAGGAAGTTTGAACAATTTTTGTGAAATTAGAAACTCGCCCACAAAAGAGAATTATGCCTTTGCTTACAACTGAGTTATGAAACTAATTTTTACACAAAAAAGGTTGAAATCACTCTCTAGAAGCCCTTAGAATCTAAGGCTGGCAGAGTATTCTTCAGTGACAAGAGGGGAAAAAATCTTTAGCAACATCATGCTTTGAGTGGTACAGTAACTGAGAGCAAACTGGTTAATTAGTGACATCGTAGATGCACCACTGGAATGTTTCTTGGCAAATGAGATCCTTTTCCTTTCACCCTCCTTGCCATTTCTAGGTGTTACTTTCACTCCCTGGTTCCTCTGTCTTAGTTAGTTAAACTGTTGATGTCTTGATTTATTCTGCATGTTAAAAATAAACATTCTGCTCCTCTTTCCCTTGAGGAGCATGAATAAATCCATAACATGCTACAGAAATTAAGGAGTCTTCAGGGCTACCAGCCTTGCAGTAAAGGCTGAGTGGTAGTATCTCTCTCCTACATTAAAAAAGAGGGGGAAATGCCTTCACTTGGTTTGTAAACTACTCATCTTTAAATAACCCATTTCTTTTATCCCTAGCCTATCTTCTGATATTCTTGATGGGAGTAGCAGCAGTGTTGGCTCTTCCTCTGATTCACTAGCTAAAGGCAGCATTACTACAGAATCTCCAGTAACATGCTCAAACTCATGCTCATCATTCATTCTGATGGATGATCTCTCACCTAAGTGACTTAATCAGTTCTGAGTCAGTGTTTGGCTGTGCTTTTTCCTTGCTGTACATTTGTACAGAGAGATGAACTCTGATCCTTGAACCATTGACAGGAGGATTAAAATACTACATGGAAAACTATTCTAACTGTATTCCTTGGCAACTCTTCTCAGTTTTGATTTATCCATTTAATGGACATGCATAGACCATTTTAATGTCTGGTTTTGCTGATTTTATTTTACAAACAAGATGTATGTTCAGACTATACTAACTTTGTTTGCTTCCAAAAAGCCTGCATACGCTTCTAGATTTCCAAATAAGCACCTACATCTGTGTGTTTAATTTCCAGGAAAGTAACCGCCTGGTGTCACTTATCACAGTCACTTTAGTTGGAGAAATACTTGGTGGTTGCAAAAATATATATTTTTTTGGAAATCCTCATTTTTCAAGAGCAATTTTTAGAAGTAATTGAGATTGATTACTGTACATTTTTATTTCTCAAAAATAAATTACTTTTATGTGGGAGGGATGTATATCCTATTTCCCCAACTAAGTCGGTGACAAATTATTCTCCCCACTTTTTCAGCCACTACCAGCCATTTCTCCTGCAGAAAGAAGGAAATGTTTGTGCTTTCTTCTACTGCTACTTGTCATTTTTACAGCAGTTGAACACTATGGTTCTAGAAGTTGCTTTCTTTGTATTAAAAAAACAAACCAAAACCCATCCTCTAGGGTGACGAGCACATCTTTTCAGTAGAGGAAATACCGACTCCCTGTGAAACATGGTTAACACAGCTGCATAGTTCTCTCCCCAGACCCTTCATCCTACAGACTGTATAAAATATGGTCAACAATCAGACATTTGGCCAAGGAGAAATAATTCCTGCCTTGAACTAAGACTTATGGTGCAAGTAACCAAGTTACTTAAACTACTGTGTAGAAGAATGTGTGTGGCGCCATCAATGTCTCCTGTGGCATTGAGGCCATAGGTATTTTTGTGCCTTAGGGGACATTGCTACAAAATTAAGGAATGTAAACTAGAGGGGTGGGCGGGCAAAGGATTTTGTGTATAGATTGTGTATGGAGTGCATACCAGATGTTGTCTTCAGTGCTGCTTTTCCTTAGTGCTCCTTTCCAAGGTGTGCATTCCAGCGAGAGGTGCGGTCAGTGGTCCCAATCACTCTGAAACAGTGGCATGTTTGCTACCCTTGAAGCTGCTGCTCAGCTTTATGCCTTTGTTGCCCGGCAGAGGGCAGACAACTGAGTTAATGTTGATTTCTGGGGGAAGGCCCTTGAGGTTGGATTGGATCCTGACTCTGCATACTGTGTGTCTAAGGAGTTACGTGTGAGCTACAAGAGGTCTTGATACAACACCTCGGTCAGCCGAGGTAAGACGATAGACATTTACTTTTTAAAGACTCAAGTGGGCTAAAAATAAATCCATTTGTAATCTACTGTGTTATGCTATTTATTATTTATAACTATGTAAAAAAAGTCTGTGGTGATGACTTATAGTATTTTTTTATGATTGAATGAGTTTTTTATGTTCAGTAATAATTGCTGGCTGGTCTGTATTTAATATGCAACATTGTCTGCCAGAATCATAAGCTTCCATTTTTGAATGTGTGTAAGTCAAATGCTTTGTGTTCTCCAAAAGTACAATTTCTGATAATTTTTTTTTTTTTTAAAGAAAATAGCACTGAATTTAAAGTAAGATTATGTGCTTTAAAGATGAGCACAATCTCTGGCAATACTGTCTGGCTAAGAAGCAGAGGGTGAGAACCATACTTTGTTTGTTTGTTCTGAAGATGGTGTTTAGTTTCCAGTAGCCTTGTCATACATAACATTTTATTTTTAGAAGTGTTTATTTTAAATTGTAACAAGTACCATAATGAGCCAGTAGTGGCACTATTATCTGTATTACCATTTTCACCTGTGGAGCATTAGTTTTCCCCACCTCAAATAAATGTGCATATTGTAAAATATTGTCCAGTGGTGCCATTTTTAAACAAGTTCTACAGTATTCACTGTTAATTTTATTTGTATATGCACAGTGCTATTTCTTGCATTTTGGCTGTACCTTAGATTGCTTTAACTTTTTTTTTTTTAATTCACACTCGTACTTCATCTCTGCCTTCATTATGTGTTAAAAGAAGGCTGCTTTTACATTTGCAAAGTACTGATAGTCTGTGAAAGTTCAACTTGTTATCCTTGCCCCTCTTTGGTTTTGCCATACTTTTATTAGGACTGTGACTTAAATTTACACAAGGGGCGACAGAACAAGTAACCTTTTGCATGCTTTCTTACAATGGAGAAGAACAACACTTGCTTATTTTGGCTGACTTGCCTGTACAATTTGATGTATTCAAGATTTGTTTGTTAGTAGTGGGGAGTCTTATATAAAATGCTGGCCTTTGTAAACATTAGAATGTAAACTTCATAAAACAAACGCACAACCATTCAATTTTGTTACAGCATTTTTTTTAATGGTCTGGCTGCCATGCACTCTTCACCATCGCTGTTGCTCTTTCAAACTTTTAACTATGTTTGAGTGAATGTCTGGAGCTCTTAGGGCAAGTCTCACATAACTAGTGGTAGGACTACTACTTCCTTTTAAAACTGAACTTTTAGGGATCAGTTCTTGAGTTATTCATGCTTTAATCCTATGATCAAAGTTGCATCTGCATTCTCATGAATGCAAGTACCTGGCCGCAGCATGGCCTAACTATTTGGGGTGAAGAACACTAGCATCATCTGCAAAGGTAGCCTGACTTCTCCTCCTATTGCAAAATCATCTCACTAGCTTATAGTTTCACTCAACCCCTATCATTTGAGCTGAATTTCCATGGGGGTGTCTTAAGCCAAGAATAACATTATTCCATGTGGCACATCTTTAGGATTGGCAATTATTACTAAATACAGTGAGTCAAAAATCAGCCTTCTGCATAGCTTCTTTCAAAACACATTACTAAACACAGCAGCGAGGTCAATCTCTATGGCTAGATGATTAATGTCCTAAACTAGCCTATGCATTATGTGTATTTGAACCCCAGTCTAGCTGTACAGTAGATAATCTTTCTTAAAATACTGAAAGGAATTTAATGGTATACTTTCCTGCACTAAAGTAAATGTTGTATACGTGATTGGCTATGGAACTCTTAAATAATTTTAATATCAAATATTTCACCACCCCTTTTCTTAAACTTGCATGTGTTTCTCCTCACACATTGAACTTCAAAGTGGAGTTAATTGACAGAAAGCTTTACTTACAGACTTCTGCATTCTCAGTGTTAATAGTTCTTCTATATAACATCATTAAAAGCTCTAGATGGGAGTAGCCCTGCAGAATTTATTGAGGAATCTACTCATGCACAAGGAAAATAATTAGTGCTCCGAGTAGTATGGGAACACTGAAGCATGAGTTGGTGGATAGTGATCAAAGCTACAATCAATATTTGTAAGTATGAACAAGCATCTTTCTTATTAAAAACAAAATACTCAAGCCAAGGCCTCAGTCCTACAACGAGAGCTGGGAGGACGGGCCTGTTGGTCTGAACCCTATGAAGTCAATTCAGTGTGCACAGAGGTAAATGAGCAAATTTACTGCTGGGGGGGTTAAGCACTACAGATATGTAAGAAGTGCATCTGCTTTAGGTGCTAGTTTGCAGATGCACATTATTACATTGTGACAGGTAAGAGTCTAACAACAATCAAATGCATAGACAGAAGAAACCTGGTATTTTTCCTAAGGGTGTGTAATCTGCCTATGAACTTTGACATCACAGAGAAGAAGGTAGTTAAACCCTTTCTGAACTGGAAACCGCAATGCAATTTCTAGCTTTGGTTCATGTTTGCCTGTTCAGGGCCATGCAAACAAATACTGTTTTGGAGCTAGCTGCTGCAATTGCTTTAAGAACTGTGTCGTCTCCTAAGATTGGCAAAAGGAAACAGCAACAGCCCGTCTCTAGGGAAGAGACTTTTACAGCTCAGCTCTCACTCCCAGCTAGCTGGCCAGTCTGCAGCAAACTAAGATGCATCACTCAAAAATACCAGTTGACTCTGCTGCTGAAGACAGTTTATCAGCAAATGGCCTCACAAGGGTTTGACTCAAACACAGTACTAACTCCAACAGCTCAGTTGCTCAGTTCATTCTCTGTGCCTGTCATCTTAGCATCCAAGGCACTTCCCCAAGGGCAGGTTTTATAACCTGGACTTCTTTACTCATAAAGGCCTCTTCATGGGCAAGTCCAGTACTTTCCTAGAAGTCTTGCTCAATCCTGCCTTAGAGGCCAAAGCTGTGCTCCAGATAACCACAACCGGTCTCCTCCCGCCAAAGGTGTCCTGTGAAGACAGAGGTCCTATTAGGGATTTTACTAACAGCCTGGTGAGGTAGACAAGAGCATTGGCTAGCTGCTGGAGTCCTAACTCAGACATGAGGAGGTGGGGCTACCTTTGAAGAGACAAACGAGCCGTGTTGTTGGATGAAAACAAATCCAGGATAAGCAATGGCACTTCACATCAATGGATAATGGTGACCAATAAGCCCATGGTAGGGCTTATTGACTTGTGTTGTAGGCAACAGCAACAAAAATCATCCCTTTCTATAACTGTGCAGAGAGTGTCTGCCTGCAGGCGCTCCAGGCCATCCTTTTATTACTGAATTGGACACTTGACAGGAATCTCTTGCTTCGCTCTACATAACTTAGAAGTCCTTTTATTGCCCTTTGTTTGAGCCTCTGCTTTGGGGCCCTTTTGGTCTTAGCCTTGACTCTGACATCTGCCTTGGAACATGTTTGAAGTTTATGAGCAATGCAGGTTAGATGGCTCCCTCTATTTTAAAAGATTTGAAAAACTAGGGTTGTGGTGTTTATTTATTTTCAAATGCCCATTACAGAGCAGGCGTGTTATTTGTTGGCGTATTTTGTAAGCTAGAGTTTTAAGGGGATGAACATAGTAAAGGTACTAAAAGGAGGACAAAGAAGCATGTAGTTTTAGAGAAGAGTTTGGTTTATTGTTGACCACAAGTATCTTTTCTAAGACGCAAGAAATAGGGTTTGTTTTTTTTTTAACACATCTGTAGCAACACAGGAACAAAATCCCGTGTGTTCCCCTTATTGCAAGATTAACAGATAAGCACTTTTTTTGGTTACTAAAGGGCCACAACAGATTCATTTAAAACAAAAAGAGGATGTAGCCAGTCTCAGGTCACTGAATAATACTTTGAAGTAGCAATCCCCTATGATTCAATAAGTCTGTTAATTATACCAAGCTGTCTAGCAGTTCCTTTCCTTATGTTTTCTGTGGTTCTCTAAAATGCATTGTCTTGGCTTATAATAAAAGAAAATACTGCTTTTTGCCAGACACCTTAGCCCTCCTTTAAAAAAAGCTGCCTTCTGTTTGGGAGGGGGTAGACTTTTCTTAGACACTTTTAACATAAAAGTAAGGTTTTTCTGTTCCCTGCTCATTTTCTCCATACCAAAGTGCCTTCCACCTAAATTCAACAGCAAAATCCACTGCAGACATATAGACTCTAATTATTTGTCCCTTTTGGGGGGGGGGGGGGGGGAATGTTGCATATATGGTAAGGCTTTTGGCTTTGATTTTTAAGGTAATGAGACAGTTTGGCTCTAAAAGAATTATCTTGAGTAAAGCTGAATTCTGGAAAGCATTTGGATGTAGTTTGTGCAGCATGCTAGAGACAAATCAAGGGGCATCTAATGCTAAGAATTAACTGTTGAGATGAGACACCTTTTTCCCCCCCAAGAGCTCAAAGTCTGAACTCTTCAAACCAATCATCCCGTAGCCTGCCCCTGCCTCTACCTCTGCTCATTAGCTCTAAAGTCAAGTGCCAGCCTGCTGCTGTATTGTGATAGCACCTAGGAGCCCCAGTCACAACCTAAGACTGCGTACACAGCACGAAAGGGGTTCCTTGTCCTGGAGTGCTTACACTGCAGGAGTAGGGCTCTAGGGGTTTACATCAATGCACTAGACAACCCAGAATTCACTGTAGCAAAAAAGTTAATGTGCACAGATACACACTGGGTGCATCTACATGTCCATTAACGTGCTTTAGGTAATGCACATTACATCTCATACCTCCATTGTAAGGCACTGGGAAAATATGCATTCGCCTATTTAAAGTGTCACAAAAAAGTGCTCTTTAGCTAATGCACATTAAAATAAGCTAATGCGTATTAAAGCGCACATGTAGATGCACCCACCGAGGACTAGTGTGTGACTGCTAACAGGGCACTTAAGTGTAACCAGGGAATCTCACTCACCCCCCACAATTTGGAAAAGCTGTGGATAGAGAGTCGCATCCAACCTTCAGCACTGGCCCCTCATGAATAACCTGTCCTAAAGCAAAGCCTGGGAAGAATTCAGCTCTAGCAGTGAACTCCACAGCACCAGTCTCAGCTCTACTTGAGTGTCAGCCTGTCTCTAAGTGAGAGGCCCTGCTTCCAAGAAATCACGACAAGGGAAAGGTAAGGAAGTGTCACTAGATGGACCAGAGGTGGGGTTGGTCTGAAAACAGCATGGTGAGCTAGGAGCTCTGGCTCAGCATGGTCCCTGTTGGAGTGGACTGATGGGCTCAGCTTTGTTTATGTGGGAGAAGCAACATCAAAGAAACTAGAATCCTAATAGAAAACACTCACTTTTGAAAACTATTTGCTGCTGGGGGTCACTCATTTCAGAACATTAAAAAGGAGGCAGCCATTGGGGCAGGATGCGGAAGGGGGCATGGCAAAAAAAATCCAAGCAGGACCAGGCCTGCTGTGAGTGTTGGTCGAGCACAGCCAGACCTTGCAACTAGCCTGACCGTGCGTCTCAGACTGGCTGCAGCACGGTCAGTTTTGAACACCAATCCAGTCGATGCCAAAATGCCAGGGGCTGTTTTGGAACAGCATCAGGACCTTCTTGTGTTGGGAAATAGTAACAAGGCATGAAAGAAGGAAAGGGAAATCCGAGATGTGCATGCAGCCCCTGGCACAAAGGGGAGAATGAGGGACAATGGTACAGAGGCAGAGGAATATAAACCCCTGTAATATGGCAGGAGGGAGAAGGGAGGCATGCACGACCAAGAAGTCTCTACAGTCAGAGTGACTGGAAAGTTGGCCCATGGGGAACTTGTAGCAAGGAAGGTGAGAATGAAAAGAGCCCATTCCTGTTCAGCAATGAGTTTATACTCTGTGCCATTCGAACACCTAGTGCAAAGCCAGAGGACTCTGCCGGGATGCAGGTAGCAAGCCAGCCATGAAACAGCACTTTTTTCCCATTTGCATTTATCAGGATTGACCACTGGCTCCAACATGCAGAGAACCTTTCCATTTTTTAGAGGCACAGGTTGTAGCCCAGTTGGTCTAAGGACATAGTCTTTGTCTAGAACATAGAGACGACGTTCTTTGGGTAAATCTGATATCTTTCATTAGACCAGCTCAAATAGTTGGAAAAATTTTTT